AGAAGAATGTTTGCCCTGAAGATGCACGAGGTGAGATTTTTTTTGCAGTTTTCTTTGCCAGCTGAAAATATTGGATTACTTATATCATTTAACTAAAGCATGTAAGTATGTGGCCAGGGAGGGAGAAGGACTAGTAACATTGGTTGACACAGAAAACAAAGTGATATGTTGTAAAATTAGGGCTATAACGATAACAGTTGATTTACAATTTGATATCATTGATAGAGCAGTGAGGGATGTCGTGTATTTTTAAAAAGGGAAAAGGATTTAAAGAGAAATAGTATATTTGATCTCTCAGTGTGTAGGAGAAAGGATGTGATGGGCTGAGTAAGGGAGACTCTAGTAAACTGAAACTAATCAGTGTGGAGAGAAAAATAATCAGAAACTTTTAATCTAACTAGTCTATTAGCTTCTGCTTTTTTTTTTTTTTTTTTTTTTTTTAGTTTTTGAGCACTGAAAAGTTCCCTCAAAGCAGAATTCAACAGGAGATGTCTATGCTATCTGACCAGAGTACACACCAGAATAATTCTATTGACTTCAGATCCAAATCTGAGCTCGCAAATTTAAAGAAAAGAGAATTTCTCTACCTATAAAAACAATCTAGTGTTAGCTCATACTGGAGTGGGCAGTGCTGCTCTCTCCTACTGTACCAACACAGGGCAGCAAAAACTTTTATAGAAATGACCCTGCTTGAAGTGATGTAGAGCTGGGCAAGAAATTGTGGAGCTCAGTGGACATAAGTTCAGTCTGGCTTTACTCTTTATTTTTATACGTAAAAATAATTCTCTAGGTGATCAAAGGACCTTGCTTCTCTGTCTCACAGAAGATTAAACAAATGGTTACTCATATCCCTAAATATGCTTTAATTTTTTAAAATCTGTAGATACGCAGATGTGAAACTTGTAAAGAAGGGTGCAAGCACTTTCATATATAGGTTCTGGAGACTGAAATGAATACTGATCACTCGTCCTCCAGCTTCACCTAATGCCTATTAACCTTGCTTTGGATTCAAAAAAGAAGAAAAAGCAAACACAGTCAGCTATGAATTGGGAAATACATTTACCTGTTATAGCAAAAAAAAAATAAAAAATTACTGTATGGACTGAACAGTGTTTTACAAAGCCTAGGGAATACTTCTCATGATACCATCTTCAAATACTACTACTTTGACCCTCCTGAAGATTGCCCTGGAATTTCCCATTATTTATTCCCGTGCATAGAAACCAGTGTCCTTAATTGTTGATGATCTCCAGACCCTTTCTGAGAACCTTCTGTCTTATCAGTGGCCTTTTCTACACTGTCAAGAAATCTACAGTTTCAGTCAGCTCTGAAATCTCCAAGGTCTTAATCTAAACGTAGGGCTTTATTAATCCCCAAGCATACCAGTCTGGGTTTGGTCAAAACAAAATCAGGCGTTCTGAAATACTGATTTGTTGACATAAGCCCAACTAACGTTTCAAGAAAGAGCTGTGAAAATAGTTGGGAAATCTTCTACACGTGTCTGCAGCAGCAACCACCTGCTTTACCTTACGAAGAGGACCCATTTGAACAGTATGTTGTAAGAATGTTTCCACGGCTAATTAAAACACTTGGTCATACACGAATGGTCTGGAAGCAGTTGCTGGGAGGTGTGTTGAGGAGTTGTATTTTGTAGTCTCCAGTGGATGCTTGACACTAGGACAGCACTACCATCTGCCTGGGGCACTTTGCTACCTTTGCCTTCCCACCTTTCCCTTCCTAGACAATTTTAAAATGTAACTGGAAAGATCAAAAATGTCATTACTGTAAGAATCACTGTGAAATTAAAAGGGATAGGAATCAACCATTTCTGTAGCAGGTTCTTTTCATGTCTCTGCATAGACTTGCCAATTACAGTTCTCTTTTCTCAGCTGGAGATGTTAACCTGTGCTGCTTTTCTCCTGGGATCCCTGCCCAGGTTTCTAAAGTGATTTGCGGTCATTTGAGATCTTCCTTCTTTTTTGTCACTTCTTCCTGGGAGGAAGAGTGGCACTGATGGGAAATGCCTTGGTATTTATAGACTGTCTCGGTGTTATGTCTCCTGTGGTTATATAGAGGAGGCAGCATATTGTCTCTTTACTTAACTTTTAGACCACTCATCTCTTGGCTTGAGTTTCTCACCATGGACTTGCTGCTGAGAATTTTTGTCTAATTTCTTTGATTTACTTTGTGTATTTTTTTAATAAGTGCCTTCTTGATCACTAGGGTCATGTCTAGCACTTTTTTTTTTTGATGCGTGCCTCAAGATTCTGGTTACTGAAAGTTTAGTCTATGTGGGTGGCAATAGGGATCCCCTCTATAGGATCCAGAACATGGAGTGAAGGTGGGGACCTGATGTGTGCCTGCATTGTACACACTAAAGGAGCAGAAGGCACCTAGAGCAAGTGCTTGTGAGAGGGAATTCCTGGGTACTGGAGATTGCTCTCTATCTTCAGTTATCCACCTAAGCTTCTTTGCTTCATATTAGCTCATATTTTTGGCTTTAGTCAGATTTTTACTGCATTATAGGAGAGGATCTGACAAACTCCAAAGTAAAAATGAACACTTAACTCCTTTTTAAATGCTTAGACTGAACTCTCTTCATCCATTGATAGGAGGAATTTGGCTCCAGAAATAGAGTTGTGAAGTATTTGGCTAAAATTCTCTCAACTTCCTTATGTTTTACTTGATTCAACCCTGGTTCACTGATACCATCCTAGAGTTTATAGTAACAGCAATAGAGGTGAAATCCTGACCCTCTCAAAAACAACAGGAAATCTTTTACCCAAGATTTCATATTTAGATGGCCAATATATCCCCAAAATATATATCATCTCCTGACATCTTCAGTAGAGCAGGAAATACTATGGGGATTCCTCAGATTGGAGGGATGTGTGGGGCAGCCTTCCCCTGAAACAAGTAAAGAGTATGGGCAGTTGCCTCATGTTAACTCTGTGCTTGCTGACATTACAAAGTTGTCATAAGAAGGTTTCTTGTCTTGTCAAACTGAGGCACTAGTATGTCTCTCTCCTCCTGTGGGGCGGACAGAGCTGAAGAACAAAGCTATGTTCTGCCCATCTAGTTGTGGTTTACAATGAAATGAGGATGAAGCTTCTCCTTTTCTGAAAGGGTGCTTGGCACCTTTGGCAGTGTTGTGAGCTTGCCAGTGAGCTTAGTAAGAGCTGTGCCTTCTCTGTGGGGAATGTAGACCAGTGTATTTGGATTTATCCTTCTCACTTACAGATTTTTGGGCTTAGCCCAAAACACCGTATATTTTTCTGCGTTATGTAAGCTACCAGACTATGAGCTGGATCAGCAGAAATGCAGATGGTGCATCATGGTCTGATGTTCCAGGTGTGGTAGGCTCTGGAAAAAGGCAGGGCAGAACATTGTGACAGCCACTGTAAATGCTGTCGCAATTGAATCTGCCAGAGCTGTAAGGGAGTGAGGAGTCAGGCTTCAAACAAGGAATCTGATTTAATTCTTGCATTGTTTCCATGTCTGTGTAATCCTCTCATCTCCCATAGCTGTGCTTGGGAGAACAGAAGACCACTTTTAGTGTTGGGACCTGACCTGTATAATCTCTGGTGTGTGCTTCTCAAGCTGTGAATTCCTCCTCAATGAATATACCTCTTACCTTTTGGTGCATGGCAAACCAAAATAAGTGACACACGAGCTCTAAACAAATGCATTTTTTTAGCTAAGCCGGTGACGTTCATAAGCAGCAATACCTGACTGACACGTGCCCGGCAGACAAATTTCATCATAATTTGAATTGACTCAAACTGTACCCTGTGCCTCTGTGTCAAGGCATCTCATGCACACTGAGACCTGTTGAGGGAACAGAATTAACTTACACAATGAATTCTTACTAAAATCAAGTTAATACCAATGCTTGCGTTCAATATCTAATTAAATATATTCCTAATGCATTATAGCCATTTGTAGTATGTGCAGCCTGACTTCAGTCTCCTGGGAGCAGGCCAGTAAAGAATAGCATTACAAATATTTATTTACTTCTCTTGTCCCTTACTGGCTTTATTTTAATGGGTGTGCAAAACTGCATGAAAGCTACAGGGGAGAAAAAGCCCCCTGGGAAACCCTTTGTATTAGGATGAATTAGAAAAACAAACTCTGGGGTGCTCATTTGCCATGAATCGCTTTTCACATCACGTGCAGCAAATGAATGAGGCGTCTGTGAATCTAATTCCCTTTGTCCCAGTTGTAAAGCAGATCAGCACAATAGGAGGCACAAGGCCAGCAAAGCAAGAGCTAGAAAGCAGGCACCATTCAGTGAATTCATTTTCAGTCATCCCACTGCTGCCTGCTCCTTTTCTTCTCCGCAGATTTACAGAACAAACACAAAACCCTATGGGCCCTGGGAAATGCCTCTGTTAAGTGCTGCTGCTGAAGTCTCACTAAGCACGATGGCGGTGGCAGAGAACAGGAATCCTTCCTGCTGTCACACCGGGTCCCTTCCCACTCCAAGTGGGAGGACAGAAAGCACCTCACCATGTTGCTGCACATTAGGAAACCAGCATATCAGTACGTTAAAGAGTCTGTGGTGTCCTGAGGCAAAAAAGATCACAGAATCCTAGAATGGCCTAGGCTGGAAGGGACCTTAGAGATCATCTAATCCAACCTCTCTGTCACGGGCACGGATGCCTCTCAACTAGATCAGATGAAGATCTAGGGCCTTCCTCTCTTTTTTTAGAATAAAAATCCTCATAATTTTCTTTCATGCTGAACTGAATTTCTGACATCTTATTCTGTGTCAGATTATATTATTTCCTCTTTATTATCTTCTATATAAATAGAGTTAGGTGTGTGTATGTCAAACCAGCTATTTTTGAAAGACTAAAATATTTTAGCTGTGAAGCCCAGTGCTGAGTTGGGAGTGTAACCCTTTCATTCACTACCTGGCTATAAGCCTCTCTCACTGCATAAGATCAACTCTGTTGCCCAACTAAAAGGAAAACAGAAACTTAAAAAATAAATCTCACCACAGCTTTTGTAATGTATTTCCAAGTTGTCCTCTTTGCAGACTGTGTGCGTAGGCCATTCTCTGCTGGCATCGATGTAAAGCAGGACTAAGACGAGAACAAGAACGCCTGATGTCTTCATGGTGGCGGTAGTAGTTTGCAGGATTAGTTCTCTGTCTCTTGGTAACCCTCTGTGGAGGGAGGTGTTCCTTCCTTTCTCCAAGGGAGACAGGAGTTACTACATTCGTGCCTGCAGAAGGGTTAAGGGAGCCAACACAGCCTTAGCTTACCACGATGTGGTGTAAACAAGAGGCTAATCAGAATTGGAGGGTTCTATTTCCGTGTGCTCAGACTTCTGCTTTCTGCTTCGCGTTAGTTTAAGCTAATGACAAATGAGCTAATCACACCTACTCACTCTGCACGGCGCAGCCTTGCCTCGGTGCCTGCTGGAAAAGATGCAGTAAACTGCTTAGCTTTTCTCTTGCTGCCACTTTCTTCTCTTGAAGTCAAAGCATTTGGGTCAGGACTTCAGACAGGCTTTTTAGCCTTCTGTTTTGCTGACCAAATTGCCCTGTCTTGATTATGCAAAGTCAGACCAAATTTTTTGACTTATTTTTTTCATTCTGTCTTCCTGGTTATTTAATTGCCCGCTAGTGATGCTGTGCACTTATTTGCGTCACTTCTTTCTTTTTTAAATTTTTTTTTTTTAAAAAAGCTGGGCATTGTGCAAGAATTATTAGTGGCTGTTGCAGATGGCAGGCAATGATCAGTAAGCAGCATCTTCAGTAAACTTCTCCAGTGCAGCTTAAGACCCAGGATTGGAACAGAATTTCAACCTGTAGTTGCCAAAAAGGTCTTTCCTGGCCCGAGCACCAACTGGAAAAAAGCTACAAGCTAAATTCAGCCCTAAAGTAAATGTCTACAATAGTCTTTTCTGAGCTAGAGACAAGGAGAAATTGGCTCTGTACCACGACAAAGTTGGATTAAAATCACTTTGGCCATCTCAGTCTTTCTTGCTCTGAAGCATGTGAGTATCATTTGTTCTGCTGCTGAGTAAAGCTGAAGAGGGGAAAGCCTATGTTCTTTAACGAACAGGAGAGCACCTAACAAGATAATTATGAAATGATGCTGAGCAGTAGAGCTGTTCCTCAGGCAAAATCCTGGCCTGAACAAAGGTAATAAAAGTAATCCTGTAGATTAAAGTGGGGGCCAAGATTTCAACCTTGATGTAGTAAATTTAAAAGCCAATTCGTTGCCATCCAGGAGACCTTGCTTTGAATAACGAGGCTCAGGCCTGCTTCGTGTTTTTGGATACTATCATGTTGCGGTTCAAGCCAATCGGGACAAAGAACCATGTGATCTCCAGCTCACTCGTCCCCTCCCACCCCCATTTCCACAGAGTTGTGGAGGGAGACAATTTCAACTAAAAAGTCTCAAGGTTTGAGATTAAGGATAGGGAGGGTAATACTCTACCGTTTAAGGTGATGGGTAAAGAACCAGAGTGACCTGGGGAGAAAAACATAGATTTAATTCACCACTACCATTTGCAAATTAGTATAGTGAGAGGAATAGGTCAATAAATATGACCTGATCTTAAGTACAACTCCTACCTGGAGGGGAGGCTCTCAAAGTTTTGCATGAGTCTACTCCCGCTTTTACAAAAAACCTCACCAGACTCAAACCCATGATGTATCATAATGGTAAATTGTGTGTCCAGGGCCAGGGGGAGAATCCAGGCAACTGTCCTTAGACATGATGTATATGTATGAGTCACATAAACCAGATCTGTCTGGTCGGACTTTGCTTGTACGTTGATAGTTGAGAAAAGCAAGCATTACTGCAAAGGGAATAGTAAGGAGAGAAAATGTCTAGGATTACTGTAATACTTTTAAACTAGAATAACATAAAGCAAAAATCCCATTACAAAGACAGTGAATATCAGATACAGCAATTTATTACGAACTGCAAAGTATGTTAGATCAGGACTGTGAGGACATCTCCTGAGATAAAGTCATTTGAAGCTGGGAGAATGCATGGGAGAAACACCGTACACGCTTGCCCTTCTCTTACTCTTCTCTGCACGCCTTCTCCACACTGCTGGGAACAGGTTGTTGGGTTAAATGGAGCCTTGCTTTGGACCATAATGATTTACCCAGACACTGGACTTATTCTTTACCTGCTCTTCCATCTGCCCACCCCATTGTGTTGGAACAGCGTTGCTGGTGCCAATGGCTTTTGCAGTGCTGACTCAAAGCAGTCTTTTGTCTTTGCAGAAGCCCTATAGTAGCTGTTCTATAGAGATCCAGGTGTCCGGGCCCTTGCCTTGCAGAGACTTTGGTCTAAGCATAAGCAGAAAGCCCATGAGAGTGGAAGAACAGTGGACTTCTGCATTCTCTGGTCTCCTTCACTGCAAGTAGGATGGCTGTGGTAGGTCTTCTAGCAGAAACTAAATATGCCTTAAGATGAGCTCAGGAGCTCTGCTACACACAGGCAAGTGTCTGCACCGTTTCCCTGTCTGGAGCATAGACTGTCTCTTTCTCTTTTGAGAAAGCTACTTCATCCTTTTTCCCTTTCCCAGCAGTGCTCTTGACACTGACTCAAAATGACA